GTACCTGATCGTCTTTGCTTCAGTTATTGAGAGAGAATCATATTTTTCTTCCGATTGACTTGGCGTAGTGAATATCATCTGATGATTCATAGCCGGAACTGACTAAATATTCAGAGTCGTAAAAGGCTGAGGTAGCTTATAACTCTCCCGAATACATTCTTCTCTTTCACCCCTATATTTTGCCAATTAGGCTCTGCATTGTAACTTTATTTTTATTATTATTACCTTTTCCTTTTTAAGGGTTTACAAGACTCAAAAGATATAAATATTAAAAATTATATTGTTCTTTTAAAGAGGCCCTATATTGGGGAAGAGTATTATAGTGGTCTAATCCGTTAGACCGTGGGGTTCCACTCCCACTAGAGACAATGGTAAAGGAGAGCTCGGTTTTGATGTTATATACATCATCCTTTCAAACTAATTAACTAACTACAGCGTTACTTGCATGCCTGCTAGGATCAATATTTCCCCCAAATTTCCTTTACAGTATGATTTCTGATTTAGAACTGACTTGTGCTCAATTTGTTTGCTATAGATGAATAATTAAAATATTTCTGAACATTTTAAAATGTCGAGAGGACTGTTATGTATATGAGGCCTATCGAAAAATCAATAGATTTTAATCAAAATCAACAGATTACGAACTATTTTTAAAAATTGAGACCTTTTCATTGATTACAAAGTATATATGGACCGACGGACGGACGAACATCGCTTAATCAATACAGAAGGCTATTCTTAGCTGATTGGTGGGTGTGTTACAAACATACAATACCCATTATAACCGTGAAGAAACAGTATAGACTGGCCCCTCGTATATGTTGAAGTAATTTAATAGCCATTAATAGCTTCAACATTATTTTAAAGCCTAAAATTATGCTTAACTAATTAAAAACCAAAAACTTTATATTGATTTCATTTTACTACTATATGGAACCGGTAAAATCCAAGCAAAATTATCATAAAATCTTATTAAATATAGGAAAGTGTTTAACAATTTGAAATACTTACTTATTTCTTCAACTATAAAGTCATATTTGTATTAATTGACTTCTTCGCATGTACTATGAAAATAGTCATACATTCTGTAAACAGATATAATGAAAAATAATAATTCGGAACCTCAACTGTAAGGAATCGTCTAAAATATTCAACTTCACTATGTACATAAACTAGCTATGCAAAATAAGTTTTATGTAGTTATATAGGAAAGTACCTAATTTCAAGTAATGTTCTCATATCGGCCCATATAAATAGTTCTGGAAATTACTTTATCTTGCAAAAATCTCCCCGTAATTCGCAATAGACTATAGCTCCCATTCCGAAATTATTATTATGACAAAAACAAAACGCATGAAACTCAAACAGGAATGTCTAAAGTCCAAGGTCAAATAGATTGTTATCTAAAAACCCTAACCCAGCGATAGGGGCTTAAAAACAACTGCAACAAATGTGGCCAATAGGGTTAATATAGTCCAAAGTAACATCGATACCCAAACAGAAATTCGTTGCAAATATAACGAATCAGCGAAGTAGATTTAAAAACCATGTCCCTCTATGTTAGTCTATAGTCCTAGTCTATAGTCTCGTCTATAGTCTATGTAGTCTATAGTCTAGTCTAGTCTATAGTCTAGTCTATAGTCTAGTCTATAGTCTAGTCTATAGTCTAGTCTATAGTCTAGTCTATAGTCTAGTCTATAGTCTAGTCTATACTATAGTCTATAGTCTAGTCTATAGTCTAGTCTATAGTCTAGTCTATACTATAGTCTCGTCTATAGTCTAGTCTATAGTCTAGTCTATAGTTAGTCTAGTCTAGTCTATAGTCTAGTCTATAGTCTAGTCTATAGTCTAGTCTATAGTCTAGTCTATAGTCTAGTCTATAGTCTAGTCTATAGTCTAGTCTATAGTCGAGTCTATAGTCTAGTCTATAGTCTAGTCTATAGTCTAGTCTATAGTCTAGTCTATAGTCTAGTCTATAGTCTAGTCTATAGTCTAGTCTATAGTCTAGTCTATAGTCTAGTCTATAGTCTAGTCTATAGTCTAGTCTATAGTCTAGTCTATAGTCTAGTCTATAGTCTAGTCTATAGTCTAGTCTATAGTCTAGTCTATAGTCTAGTCTATAGTCTAGTCTATAGTCTAGTCTATAGTCTAGTCTATAGTCTAGTCTATAGTCTAGTCTATAGTCTAGTCTATAGTCTAGTCTATAGTCTAGTCTATAGTCTAGTCTATAGTCTAGTCTATAGTCTAGTCTATAGTCTAGTCTATAGTCTAGTCTATAGTCTAGTCTATAGTCTAGTCTATAGTCTAGTTATAGTCTAGTCTATAGTCTAGTCTATAGTCTAGTCTATAGTCTAGTCTATAGTCTAGTCTATAGTCTAGTCTATAGTCTAGTCTATAGTCTAGTCTATAGTCGAGTCTATAGTCTAGTCTATAGTCGAGTCTATAGTCTAGTCTATAGTCTAGTCTATAGTCTAGTCTATAGTCTAGTCTATAGTCTAGTCTATAGTCTAGTCTAGTCTAGTCTATAGTCTAGTCTAGTCTATAGTCTAGTCTAGTCTATAGTCTAGTCTATAGTCTAGTCTAGTCTAGTCTATAGTCTAGTCTATAGTCTAGTCTATAGTCTAGTCTATAGTCTAGTCTATAGTCTAGTCTATAGTCTAGTCTATAGTCTAGTCTATAGTCTAGTCTATAGTCTAGTCTATAGTCTAGTCTATAGTCTAGTCTATAGTCTAGTCTATAGTCTAGTCTATAGTCTAGTCTATAGTCTAGTCTATAGTCTAGTCTATAGTCTAGTCTATAGTCTAGTCTATAGTCTAGTCTATAGTCTAGTCTATAGTCTAGATTATAGTCTAGTCTATAGTCTAGTCTATAGTCTAGTCTGTAGTCTAGTCTATAGTCTAGTCTATAGTCTAGTCTAGTCAATAGTGTATTTTATAGTCTAGTCTATAGTTTAGCCTATAGTCTAGTCTATAGTCTAGTCTATAGTCTAGTCTATAGTCTAGTCTATAGTCTAGTCTATAGTCTAGTCTATAGTCTAGTCAATAGTGTATTTTATAGTCTAGTCTATAGTTTAGCCTATAGTCTAGTCTATAGTATAATCTATAGTCCAGTCTATACTCTAGTCTATAGTCTAGTCTGTAATCTGGTCTAAAGTCTAGCATATAGTATATTCTATAGTCTATCCTACAGTCCAGTCTGTATTCTAGTCTATAATCCAGTCTATAGTTTATTCTATAGTCTAGTCAGTAATCTGGTCTATAGTCTAGTGAACAGTCTATTCTATAGTTCAGTCTATAGTATTTTCTATACTGTCTAGTCTATAGTCTAGTCAATAGTCTAGTCTATAGTTTAGTCTATAGTCTAGTCTATAGTCTGGTCTATAGTATAATCTATAGTCCAGTCTATACTCTAGTCTATAGTCTAGTCTGTAATCTAATTTAAAGTCTAGCATATAGTATATTCTATAGTCCTGTCTGTTGTCTATCCTACAGTCCAGTCTGTAGTCTAGTCTAAAGTCCAGTCTATAGTCTATTCTATAGTATAGTCTGTGGTCTAGTCTATAGTCTAGTCAACAGTTTATTCTATAGTCTAGTCCTCTCACTAGTCTATGAAGTAGTTAATAGATTAGTTTATAGACTTGTCAATAGATCAGGTACATTAAATCAAGAAAGAACTTCATTAGAATAAGTTAGTCCAATTTCAAATATAAAATTTTTCGTGCATCGCACCAGTTATCGAGGAGAACTTTGATCTAGCAGCTTTCGAAGTTTAAAATGGAGTAAACTTGGCAACATTGGCAACCTATATGATCCGAAATTAGTTTGGATTAAATCAATGTTTTGTCTTAATAAGTACTATAAATAAAATTTTTTAATTATCTACCTGGTATTCATAGCATCAAGCAATTTATCCTTTCAAAATTCATATTATAAAGCATTGTTAACTTTATTAAACATTTATGAATACCTGGTTTGATTTTTAGCTAACTGCAGAAGTTTCTCTTAAATATTTCCTTTAGTGTAATTTTTTTTAATTAATTAATCAAATAGTTCAGCGTGTTTCATTAAATTTAAGGTACATTTTTTTTAAATTTTGTTTTTATTATTTTTTTTATTTAACATTTTGTTTTTTTGTTCAAATATATATTTATTAAGAGTATAAAGATTTAGTTAGTTTTAAAGGGGTTTTTTTTTATTTAGTTGTTTTTTGTTAAATATGTATATAAATTATGAATAAATATTTGTTAATGATTTTTAAAATTTACAATAGTTAGAAAGTTTAATTTAATGGCGGAAATAATATAAATTGTTTGTAATTTTAGGATTTTTCTTATCATTTTGGAATAAAATACTTTTTAGAAGTTAACAATTTTTTTTTTATAATTTCATTATAATTTTTCTTTACTTATTTATGCAATAACAACAAATTTCAGGTTTTTTTTATATTTTTATTTATTTTTTTTTTTAAATTGGTACTAAAACAAAGTTTGTTTTATGTTTTTTTTTGTTTAATTTCAGTTAAATGGCATTATTTAGTTGAATTTTAAAGTTAAAGATGAGTTTAAATAAATGTTTTAAAGATTTCATAAGAATTTTTTTTATTTTTTGCTTTTGTAAACAAATAAGAAAAATGTGTAATTTTTATAAATTATGTATTTTTTATAATTTTTCAACAATATGTCCTAAAGTTTAATAGCTATTTTTTAAAAAACTTTAAAATTTATTTAAAAAATTTAAAGTTTTTAGTCAAAAATAACTAAAAAACTTTTAGCACAATTTTTTTTTAAATGTTTTCTATTTTATTAAGTTCTACAACAATTTAATTTTCTTTATTAGTTTTAGTTTTTGTTTTAATATTAATAACTACTTTTCTAAATATTAGCATTTTCTTTTTTTTTAAATATATGTATGATTTTTTTTTTTTATTCATTATAATTAATATTATTTTTAACAATATAATGTGGAGTTTTTATTTTAATTTTGTTTTTAAAAAGGTACATAATTTTTTATTTTATAATTCTCGTAAGTACTTTTTAGCTTGAAAGTTTTCTTTCATTTTAATTAAATTTTTTTTGTATTTAACTACTAATGTTTAAATATTGATGGGCTATTTTGTTTGTTCTTTAATTACTTAATAGTTGTATGTATTTTTATTTTATTAATAAATTCTACTTTTTCACTACTTTCTAGACTAACAGACAGACAGACTGTGTGAGTGAGTGACTGAACGTGTATGATTGGCGGTCGACTTAACGTGTCTGGCCTAATATTTTTATACAGCCTCTGGTCGTATGATTGTAGTCTATGATGGTGTCAATTGTGGTTGTGGTGTAAAATAATGTAGTCCATTTGTGGCCATATCGTATTCGGTGATATATGCAGGAATTTCTAATTGATCTTTTGATATTGCTGAATATAAATGCTCCACACCAGGCAATGAGTGTACTTTGGCTTTGATGGCCGGTGCCATGAAGGTGGTAAACCACCAAGTCATCATCTGTAAATAAATTATAAAAATTAGAAATGAATTAAATATTTCTTATCTAATATAAGTTCAGCTATGAATTGAACATACCTTAGTCCAGAATGTTGGATGTACAATATAAAAGGCTTTAAGATTCTTCTTGTATCTGTAAGAAAAGGAAAATTTTATATTTTTATAATTTGCTTACATATCAGTTCAGTAAAATATTGCCATCCAGAACTGGACTGGAACAGAATTAGAACTAAAACTGAATTAAAACTGAACTGGAACAGAACTAGAACTGAACTAAACTGAACTAAACTGAACTAAACTGAACTAGATCTGAACAAGAACTGAACTGCAGCTGAATTAGAACAGAATTAGAATAGAACTAGAACTGAACCAGAACTGAACTAGAACTGAACTAGAACTGAACTAGAACTGAACTAGAAGTGAACAAACGGAACTAGAAACTGAAACTAGAAGCTGAACTAGAACTGACTAGAACATGAACTAAAAAGAACTGACACTAGACACTGAACTAGAACTGAACTAGAACTAGAAATGACCTAGAACTGACTAGAAACTGAACTAGAACTGAAACTAGAACTAGAACTAGAACTAGAACTGAGAACTAGAACTGAACTAGAACTGAACTATAACTGAACTACGAAACTGAACTAGAACTAGAACTACGAAACTGAACTAGAACTGAACTAGAACTGAACTAGAACTGAACTAGGAACTGAACTAGAACTGAACTAGAAAACTGAAAAACTAAGAACTGAACCTTAGAACTGAACTATAACTGAACTAGAACTGAACTAGAACTGAACTAGAACTGCAACAGAACTGAACTAGAAGCTGAACTAAGAACTGAACTAGAACTGAACTAGAACTGAACTAGAAACTGAAACTAGAACTGAACTTAGAACTGAACTATAACTGAACTAGAAATGTGAAACTAGAACTGAACTAGAACTGAACTAGAACTGAACTAGAACTGAACTAGAACTGAACTAGAACTGAACTAGAACTGAACTAGAACTGAACTAGAACTGAACTAGAACTGAACTAGAACTGAACTAGAACTGAACTAGAACTGAACTAGAACTGAACTAGAACTGAACTAGAACTGAACTAGAACTGAACTAGAACTGAACTAGAACTAGAACTAGAACTGAACTAGAACTGAACTAGAACTACTAGAACTAGAACTAGAACTAGAACTATAGGACTAGAACTAGAACTAGAACTAGAACAGAACTAGAACAGAACTAGAACAGAACTAGAACAGAACTAGAACAGAACTAGAACAGAACTAGAACAGAACTAGAACAGAACTAGAACAGAACTAGAACAGAACTTAGAACAGAACTAGAACTAGAACTAGAACAGAACTAGAACAGAACTAGAACGAACTAGAACATGAACTAGAACAGAACTAGAATCATAACTAGAACTAGAACAGAACTAGAACAGAACTAGAACAGAACTAGAACAGAACTAGAACAGAACTAGAACAGAACTAGAACAGAACTAGAACAGAACTAGAACAGAACTAGAACAGAACTAGAACAGAACTAGAACAGAACTAGAACTGAACAGAACAGAACAGAACATAACTAGAACACAACTAGAACACAACTAGAACAGAACTAGAACAGAACTAGAATAGAACTAGAACAGAACTAGAACAGACCTAGAACAGAACTAGAACAGAACTAGAACAGAACTAGAACAGAACTAGAACAGAACTAGAACAGAACTAGAACAGAACTAGAACAGAACTAGAACAGAACTAGAACAGAACTAGAACAGAACTAGAACAGAACTAGAACTAGAACTAGAACAGAACTAGAACAGAACTAGAATATAACTAGAATTAGAACAGAACTAGAACAGAACTAGAACAGAACTAGAACAGAACTAGAACAGAACTAGAACAGAAACTAGAACAGAACTAGAACAGAACTAGAACAGAAACTAGAACAGAACTAGAACAGAACTAGAACAGAACTAGAACAGAACAGAACAGAACAGAACAGAACAGAACAGAACAGAACAGAACATAACTAGAACAGAACTAGAACACAACTAGAACAGAACTAGAACAGAACTAGAATAGAACTAGAACAGAACTAGAACAGACCTAGAACAGAACTAGAACAGAACTAGAACAGAACTAGAACTGAACTAGAACTAAGTAGAACTGAACTAGAACTGAACTAGAACTGAACTAGAACTGAACTAGAACTGAACTAGAACTGAACTAGAACTGAACTAGAACTGAACTAGAACTGAACTAGAACTAAACTAGAACTGAACTAGAACTAAAGTAGAACTGAACTAGAACTGAACTAGAACTGAACTAGAACTGAACTAGAACTGAACTAGAACTGAACTAGAGCTGAACTAGAACTAGAACTGAACTAGAACTGAACTAGAAATGAACTAGGACTGAACTAGAACTGAACTAGAACTGAACTAGAACAGAACTAGAACTGAACTAGAACTGAACTAGAACTGAACTAGAACTGAACTAGAACTGAACTAGAACTGAACTAGAACTGAACTAGAACTGAACTAGAACTGAACTAGAACTGAACTAGAACTGAACTAGAACTGAACTAGAACTGAACTAGAATTGAACTAGAACTGAACTAGAACTGAACTAGAACTGAACTAGAACTGAACTAGAACTGAACTAGAACTGAACTAGAACTGAACTAGAACTGAACTAGAACAGAACTAGAACAGAACTAGAACTAGAACAGAACTAGAACAGAACTAGAATATAACTAGAATTAGAACAGAACTAGAACAGAACTAGAATAGAACAGAACTAGAACAGAACTAGAACAGAACTAGAACAGAACTAGAACAGAACTAGAACAGAACTAGAACAGAACTAGAACAGAACTAGAACAGAACTAGAACAGAACTAGAACAGAACTAGAACAGAACTAGAACAGAACTAGAACAGAACTAGAACAGAACTAGAACTGAACAGAACAGAACAGACAGAACAGAACAGAACAGAACAGAACAGAACATAACTAGAACAGAACTAGAACACAACTAGAACAGAACTAGAACAGAACTAGAATAGAACTAGAACAGAACTAGAACAGACCTAGAACAGAACTAGAACAGAACTAGAACAGAACTAGAACAGAACTAGAACTGAACTAGAACTAAGTAGAACTGAACTAGAAGCTGAACTAGAACTGAACTAGAACTGAACTAGAACTGAACTAGAACTGAACTAGAACTGAACTAGAACTGAACTAGAACTGAACTAGAACTGAACTAGAGCTGAACTAGAACTAGAACTGAACTAGAACTGAACTAGAAATGAACTAGGACTGAACTAGAACTGAACTAGAACTGAACTAGAACTGAACTAGAACTGAACTAGAACTGAACTAGAACTGAACTAGAAATGAACTAGAATGAACTAGAACTGAACTAGAAAGAACTGAACTAGAACTGAACTAGAACTAGAACTGAACTAGAACTGAACTAGAACTGAACTAGAACTGAACTAGAACTGAACTAGAACTGAACTAGAACTGAACTAGAACTGAACTAGAACTGAACTAGAACTGAACTAGAACTGAACTAGAACTGAACTAGAATTGAACTAGAACTGAACTAGAACTGAACTAGAACTGAACTAGAACTGAACTAGAACTGAACTAGAACTGAACTAGAACTGAACTAGAACTGAACTAGAATAGGACTAGGACAGAACTAGAACTAGAACAAAACTAAAACAGAACAGAACTAGAACAGAACTAGAACAGAACTAGAACAGAACTATAACAGAACTAGAACAAAACTAGAATAGAACTAAAACAGAACTAGTATAGAACCAGAAAAGAACTTGAACTGAATTAGAACTAATATAAAAATTGACCAGTCCATGAAGTAATCCATAAACTATTCAATAGCTCGAGAATAGTCTAGTTCATATATTATTAATAGATTTGTCCATACACTAAAAGTTCCTCACAACGTTTCTTAGCACACAAGCTGACAATATGATTACTTCTACTTACTTGTAAGGCAATACACTGTATACTTCACGTAACCAATGTAATGATGGATAATTATTGGTACTAGTTAAAGTATGGAAGTAAGCAATGACGTAGTCTCCTTTTACGATGGGATCCAATAATTTTATTAAATATAATAAGGCCTATTAAAAAGACAATAATGGTGTTAGTTTTTTCAATAAAAAAATATCACAAATACAAAATAAACATACTTTTTCCAAATCAAGATTATGGGCTGGAAACCATTTACCACAAAATACAATAACAGGTCTACCCAAACGATCGACACCACTTTGATAAAGACAACCAATGCCCGAAACTTCGTTCAAATCCTCGATTTGAGCACGATGCAACAGGCGTTCATATCTAAAGTGAGAAAATAAAAAAAATATATATTTTAAATAAATATTTATTTACGTTAACTTGTTTAAAGTTTAAAAGTAATAAAAATGTATAAAAGTAATAAAAAAAATGTATTTAACAGTGAGTAATAATAACAAAAGTACAAAGTGTATTATTAATAAAAAAAAATTCAGTTAATAAATATTTGATCTACAATTATGAGTTGTTTTTAAAAAAAACAAGTTCAGTCATTCAAATTTGTTCATTTTTTTCATAGCTGTTTGAATTTAACCCATTTTTGGTTAAATAATTAAAGTGAAATGATCAATAAAAGATTATAGATAAATAATTTGAAATAAATTATCTAAACAATTTTTAATAGTTCTCTCTGAAGCGTAATGTGAAATTGTGTCAATATGTATACGACCGGCAACAGAAATATAATTTTCCAAATATGTTTAAAATAATAATTTAAATACTCAATTTCTATATTTTTTTCTACATATTTGCTGCGGTAATTATTCTATTTTTGGTCACATCATAAGTAGCTATTTATGTTATTAACAAAGTTTAAAAATAGTGCTGTTTATTTTGTCTACAGTGAGTAATAAAAGTCTAGTTACGGTTGTAATGCTTTTGTATTAATTAGTATATAATTTATTTGATTAGATTTAAATCAATTATTTTACTATATTTTTCAGTTTTTATACAATTAATTAACTTGGAATTGTAATTCAAGTTCAGATGTGTCATAAATTAAGTAATTTATTATTTTTTTTTTAGAAAATTATTCAGTTTTTAAAATACATATTCATTCAAAAAGTTGTGCATGTATGTATGTATATGTGGTGTAATCAAAAATTTTAAATCATAAATTTATTAGTTTTTTCTTCAAAATAATAAAGCAGGCTATGAAGTAATCTACTGACAAGCCTTTGGATTAGTCTGTGGGATAGTACACTGACTATAGTCAATATAGATAATATAGTTCATAGATTAGTACATTTCTTTATTTAGTCTAAGGACTAGCATAGCATTAGTTTAGTTTAATATTACATTCAGTTCTAGTTCAGTTCAGTTCTAGTTCAGTTCTTGTTAGTTCTAGTTCAGTTCTAGTTCAGTTCTAGTTCAGTTCTAGTTCAGTTCTAGTTCAGTTCTAGTTCAGTTCTAGTTCAGTTCTAGTTCAGTTCTAGTTCAGTTCTAGTTCAGTTCTAGTTCAGTTCTAGTTCAGTTCTAGTTCAGTTCTAGTTCAGTTCTAGTTCAGTTCTAGTTCTGTTCTAGTTCAGTTCTAGTTCAGTTCTAGTTCAGTTCTAGTTCAGTTCTAGTTCAGTTCTAGTTCAGTTCTAGTTCAGTTCTAGTTCAGTTCTAGTTCAGTTCTAGTTCAGTTCTAGTTCAGTTCTAGTTCAGTTCTAGTTCAGTTCTAGTTCAGTTCTAGTTCAGTTCTAGTTCAGTTCTAGTTCAGTTCTAGTTCAGTTCTAGTTCAGTTCTAGTTCTGTTCTAGTTCTGTTCTAGTTCTGTTCTAGTTCTGTTCTAGTTCTGTTGTAGTTCTGTTCTAGTTCTGTTCTAGTTCTGTTCTAGTTCTGTTCTAGTTCAGTTCTAGTTCAGTTCTAGTTCAGTTCTAGTTCAGTTCTAGTTCAGTTCTAGTTCAAATCTAGTTCAGTTCTAGTTCAGTTCTAGTTCAGTTCTAGTTCAGTTCTAGTTCAGTTCTAGTTCAGTTCTAGTTCAGTTCTAGTTCAGTTCTAGTTCAGTTCTAGTTCAATTCTAGTTCAGTTCTAGTTCAGTTCTAGTTCAGTTCTAGTTCAGTTCTAGTTCAGTTCTTGTTCAGTTCTAGTTCAGTTCTAGTTCAGTTCTAGTTCAGTTCTAGTTCAGTTCTAGTTCAGTTCTAGTTCAGTTCTAGTTCAGTTCTAGTTCTAGTTCAGTTCTAGTTCAGTTCTAGTTCTGTTCTAGTTCAGTTCTAGTTCAGTTCTAGTTCAGTTCTAGTTAAGTTCTAGTTAAGTTCTAGTTCAGTTCTAGTTCAGTTCTAGTTCAGTTCTAGTTCAGTTCTAGTTCAGTTCTAGTTCAGTTCTAGTTCAGTTCTAGTTCAGTTCTAGTTCAGTTCTAGTTCAGTTCTAGTTAAGTTCTAGTTCAGTTCTAGTTCAGTTCTAGTTCAGTTCTAGTTCAGTTCTAGTTCAGTTCTAGTTCAGTTCTAGTTCAGTTCCAGTTCAGTTCTAGTTCAGTTCTAGTTCAGTTCTAGTTCAGTTCTAGTTCAGTTCTAGTTCAGTTCTAGTTCAGTTCTAGTTCAGTTCTGGTTCAGTTCTAGTTCAGTTCTAGTTCAGTTCTGTTTTAGTTCTGTTCTAGTTCTGTTCTAGTTCTGTTCTAGTTCTGTTCTAGTTCTGTTCTAGTTCTGTTCTAGTTCTGTTCTAGTTCTGTTCTAGTTCTGTTCTAGTTCTGTTCTAGTTCTGTTCTAGTTCTGTTCTAGTTCTGTTCTAGTTCTGTTCTAGTTCTGTTCTGTTCTAGTTCTGTTCTAGTTCTGTTCTAGTTCTGTTCTAGTTCTGTTCTAGTTCTGTTCTAGTTCTGTTCTAGTTCTGTTCTAGTTCTGTTCTAGTTCTAGTTCTGTTCTAGTTCTGTTCTAGTTCTGTTCTAGTTCTCTTCTAGTTCTCTTCTAGTTCTGTTCTAGTTCTGTTCTAGTTCTGTTCTAGTTCTGTTCTAGTTCTGTTCTAGTTCTGTTCTAGTTCTGTTCTAGTTCTGTTCTAGTTCTGTTCTAGTTCTGTTCTAGTTCTGTTCTAGTTCTGTCCTAGTTCTGTTCTAGTTCTGTTCTGGTTCTGTTCTAGTTCTGTTCTAGTTCTGTTCTAGTTCTGTTCTAGTTCTGTTCTAGTTCTGTTCTAGTTCTGTTCTAGTTCTGTTCTAGTTCTGTTCTAGTTCTGTTCTAGTTCTGTTCTAGTTCTGTTCTAGTTCTGTTCTATTTTTGTTCTAGTTCTGTTCTAGTTCGGTTCTAGTTTGGTTCTAGTTTGGTTCTAGTTCTTTTCTAGTTCTGTTCTAGTTCTGTTCTGGTTCAATTCTATTTCTGTTCCAGTTTGGTTCTAGTTCAGTTGAAAATCTGTTATAGTTTAGTTCAAGTTTAGTTAATTTCTAGATTTTTAACGAGAGTATTGACTAGTCTGGCACATTTCATTGATTTATTTAGAAGTAAACCTTAAATTTAATAAAATATTTAATTGAAAAATTTAGGAAATAGATTTATTTAATATTAAGTTCCATCTTTACTTCAGAGATAGTCCAGTAAATTTTAAAAATAAACATAACGTCCTTCTATATATCGATGGTGAAAAGTAACATAATTTTTTCTAACATGAGATAATGAGGCCAACAGATTTCTCTATAATCCTAAAATATTTCATGTTTGAAAAAACGCACCAATTTTGTGGACTTATAATCTACAGGTTTTCCATTTGTAATTTCGCTAATTAAAACGGAAAATGAAATCGTATAATTTTAATGAAATGAAATCTTTTAAAAACTAATGTGCAACATTCCTTGTATCACAACAATGCCAAAATGTTCCATATTCAGTCATAATTATTTGAAAACGTTTTTGTTGTATTTCAATTGTTAAACAGTAACGTAAAAAATACAAGACAACAGTCAACAGTTAACTCAATCTGCGCAGGTGAAATTCAATGCACTGTAAGGAGCATTGTACTCGTGCTCGTATTTAATTGAATATTGATGAAATATTTTGGACCAATTAACAACATTCAAAAACCGGTAACCACAATTCATTATTAACAATTAACAATAAGTTGTTGTTTGAAGCAATAATATTAATTAAATCGTTTAATAATCAATAGACGAAGAATGAATCACTCTGTTCCTTCAATAAAAGTAAAATTTTCAAAAACACGTCACTACTACACCGAAAACATTTAAGCGACATAGAAAACGAAACGCACTATCTGACGTGATACTTAGATGTCAGATAAAAAACTAACCCGACAGATGACTGCAATGCGTATGAAAATGCTGAAATGAACGGCAAAAGAAATAGATATTGCGGCAACAATCTCTACCATTCTTTATTTTAAAATTTAAAGAGATCATAAAGATCTGCTGCAGAAATATAAGATTATGTCGCAACTAAGATTCATAATTTTAAAGATTTTAAGAACATTTAAGTATAAATTTTTCGAAAATTTTGCAGTTAATGCATGTGATTTAAAAAGAACGCTTATCTTTAGATTTTCGTTAGATAATTTCTGACGGATTTATACTGCATCCATAAATGAAAATGAGTTGCTGGATATTTATCTTTCATTATGTATATTGTTACGTGTGTGACAGTTTTTTTTTGCTGTATTATTTATTTTTTTAAAAAAGATAATTTTATCAGAGGGTTCAAGTCCCCTTGCCTGTTGAAGGGTTCTGTTTTTCTTGATTAAGTCTACTGCGACATTTATTTACAATTGTTGGAGTAAAAACAGTAGCGCTTTATTTATTTTATTAACAATTAAAATGTACCGAAACAATGTCATCAGACATTTTTTGGTAAAAATTTTTAACAGAAACACAATTAAATCTACTCAGCGACAGTGCAGTAACTTTTTAAGAAAATATCCAAAGCATAACAAATGCAAAACAAAGTCAGAAGTGGACTAGAACTGGAAGCAGAAATGATCTGTGAAGAACCAGTCATTACATTACTTAACTTTACTTATATATACTCGCAGATCTTTAGATATATTATAAGAATTAGAAACCTTGTGATCTTCGTGAAACACAACCGAAATTCTAATAAATTTTTCTAGATTCATGAGCTAAGTGGATCGGAGAATTATGAATAAGATCGATAGGTGGTTGATGTTGAGGTCTTTGATTCAAAGAATTACCAATTAATGATCTATGGTTACTGGTCTGATATTTAATTCTCGAATTCTTCCAAAGGAGTACCCATAAGTTGTTTGTCAGATCTTTTGGGTCTTCCTCTTTGCCAGAGTGGAGTTAAAATACTTTAGATATTTTACACCCTAAATTAAAAGAGGATTTTTCCC